TCAGATACGCTAGATCATCTATGAATAGATTATAGATTATTTTATTCATTAAGTGATTCTCACATAAATATATGAAAATAAAATGTATAAAATTTTAGTTTTGAAGCACTGCCTTATTTTGAAATAATTGAAATGTCAAACCATTAATTTAAAACCGAGATTCAAACGGCTCACCAAATATTAGTTCAATGACTACACCGCTATGGCAGCACCGTCATAAATGTCACTTGGCGACTACAACAGAAGTGAGCGTTCTATATCAGAATAATTTTTCTTTTCTATGGTTTTCAAGATGCAGGGTGTCAAAGTTTTACTTTTATTTTCGATTTTTGTCAATTATTCCTCAATAAAACGACACAGCAATGCGAAATTACGTATCGGGGGGGTTTGTTAGGGCGAGAAATACAAATTCATTCACCGGTTTTAATATCACTAATAGGGGGCGCCACCACATCGAAGTTTTTTGAATGGCATGTAATATTGACAGTTGAGTTGAAGAGGGCGCTTCTGTACTTGGAGCTATTTAAATTTTGGCGCGTAAATGATTGATTGTAATTTTAACCTCAAAAGTTAATTCTGATGTGTGGTTTCAAGACAAGCTGACGCTGACACTTTTAAAAATATTCTCTAAGGCCCACTGAATGCTTTGGAAGATATTTTAACTTATTCATTGTCCATTGTTCATATTGTAGTCATCTTTCCTTCTACTCAATTTAAATGGTTTAAAACTATTGACATTTACCGCCAAAATTTGAAACACTCCAATTTCACTCGCGCCCTCTACAAAATTTTGAGAAACTTAACTGGATATTTGCTGCCATTATCATAACTTTTTTCCAGTTTGCTGCAACGATTTGAATATTAAAAAAACCGATTCTCCAACGTATTCACGTAAAAAAGGTGTATTTTGTTCAAGTCTTTAGAGGTAACCGTTTCCGAGATAATCTTCATTGAAATCTCATTAATTATTTTAATGTTTTATAAGTTTATTCTGTTCATAAATTATGGATTATTCCTTCGATGAGTTTACTGATATGCTATTAGTATACGGAAAGGCGAGAAAGAATGGTAAAAGAGCAGTAGGATTGTAGGAAGACAAGTTCCCGAATCGTAGAATACCCCATCATGCAACATTTAGTAGTGTGGAAAAAAGACTTCGAGAAACGGGTAATTTCCTTGTTACAAGGAATGATGCATGAAGGCAAAGAGCTACTAGAAGTGTCCGTGTAGAAGAAGCAATATTAGATAGAATTTTTGAGAAACCATCTCTAAGTACTAGAACAACAGGACGGGCGTGAGCAAATCAACTGTTCATGAAGTTTTGAAGGAACAATTGCTATACCCTTTTAAAATTTATCAAGTGCAGGCATTAGAAGCAAGGAACTATCTCGTGAGAGTGGATTTTGCAAAATGGTTTTTACAAATGTGTCGTGAAAATCAAAATTTTTCCAAATATGAATAATACACGGATGAGACAAAATTAACGAGGGAAGGAATATATAATTCACGAAATAGTCACGTGTGGGATGATACGAACCCGCACGCAATTCTACAACGGGTGTTCCAATATAAATTTTCTATAAATTTATGGGCGGGAATTGTTGGTGATGTATTGGTCGGTCCATACATCATGCCTGATAAATTAAATGGACCAATTTACAGACGCTTTCCCATGGAAGTCCTTCCTGAGCTTTTGGAAAACGTGCCAATAGCGATTCGGGATAATATGCGGTTTCAGCACATTCTAAAATAATTAATGAGAATTCAATGAAGATTATCTCGGAAAAGGTTACCTCTAGGGACTTGAACAAAGTACATCTTTTTTACGTAAAAAACGTTGGAGAATCGATTTTTTTAATATTCAAATCAATGCAGCAAACTGGATTTTTTTTTTTGATAATTTAAAAAAGTTCGATGTGCCATAGGTGGCGTCCCCTAGTAGTGATATCAAAACCGTGAATGAATTTGTATTTCACGCCTAACAAACCCCCCGATACGTAATTTCGCATCGCTGTGTCATTTCATTGAGGAATAATTGACAAAAATCGAAAATAAAAGTGAAACTTTGACACCCTGTATCTTGAAAACTAAGCACTTTAAGGCTGCATGTTCCTATCTCAATGAAAATGCGAGGTCTGCCACCTGTCAAGCGTTGTCGATCGAATATCCGGACACCCTGTATAATAACTATTCGTATTTAATTTTTGAAATCACCGCGATATTTTATGTTATAATTGTATACCTATCTAGGTTTTAATATTTACAATTTTTTTTTCAAATTCCAATTTCATTTTCCTTTCAACTTAGGACAATTTATAAATATGGCAAATCTGCAGTAAGTGTCCGTAAGTGATCATAGAATGGGATTCAATGTTTGGGACAGTTTCCCATCATAATAAACATATCTTATTTATGCGTTAATTTGAGGATAAGCCTATCGAACTTTATATCATTGAAATCAGCAAAAGCAGAGCTATCCAATGAGCTATTAATATACAGTGTGTCCCGCTTAAGGACTGACCACCCTGCTAAAATTTTTATTTTTCAACCGATTCAATTCATATTTGTTTTTTGTCTTATACCTACTCGAATTTGGCACTTATTTGGCTCATTATTTTATTTCTGCGGCTGTACTGGTGTACAGGGTGTCCACATTTATAGGCTTAAGTTTCAATAAGTACTATTAGGGATTTTTTTAGAACAAATCTAATAGCAGATTCTTGTTTAGAATGGTCTTAAACCCAAATGTACTAATTTTTGTTCAGATTTGATACAGGGTGAATACAATAAATTTTCAAAATTTAACGGACCAAATCGAAAAAATGTCGTATTTTGAGGCCGTGAGAACAGCAAAACTTGATACAACATAGTTTTAGAATATCCTTAACCAAAATTTGTAGTCTCAAAATATAACATTTTTGCGGTTTGGTTCATTAAATTGTGAAAATTTGTTGTCATCACCCTGTATCGTATTCGTATTGAAACAAAAATGAGTACATTTGGGTTTTAGACCATTCTAAACAAAAATCTGCTATCAGTTTTTTTCTTAAAAAATCCCTAATAGTACTTATTGAAATTTGAGCCTATAAATGTGGACACCCTGTATGTACACCAGTACAGCCGCAGAAATAAAATTATGAGTCAAATAAGTCAAAAACAAAAAAATGAATTTAGAGTACATCTTAAGAGGCTTCTATTATCAAAGGCCTACTATAGCACAGAAGAATTTTTCCAAGATGCTTTCTTGTGACTGTCTGAATATAATTTGTAGTTTTATTCAATGACTTCTATGTCTGTTGACTTTACGTTTGTGCAATTTTGATATTTTGTATTTTATATTTTAGAATGAACATGTTTTTGTATTTATGTTGATTTATGTTTATATTTATGTTGATTTTTAAAGTGACTTCATCTTTTGTTTTAATGACTGTTTAAATGATTTTATTGTTTTAGTCTGACCTTGTATTGTATTTTTATTTTGATTATTTCAATCTTGGTACTCTATGGCCCTGGAATTATTTTTGTATAATGTTTTTTTTTTTTCCCCTTTTACAGCTTTGTCAACGAGAATTTTGTTCTTAGACAATAAAGCATTTTTTGACTTTGACTTTGACTTTGAATCGGTTGAAGAATAAAAATTTTAGAAGGGTGGTCAGTCCTTAAACGGGACACACTGTATACTTACGGTGTCCTATCACAAAAAATCGGACTTTGGCCAATATTTCGAAATCGGAGCGAAATAGAAAGAAACTGAGAATGCCGTTGGATTGTGTTCAGAAAAGTATCCCAAAAATGTTTTTACAGAAATAAAAAAATTTGATAAACAAAAAACTTATATAGGGAAATTATTAAAATAATGGATGCATATCACCAAAATCTATGACGTTAGCATGTCGCAATGTTGCCGCATCAACTTCGCTTTACTTTGACATACCCTGTTTAGTGAAGTTTGTCATTTTCCCAGGTTACATTTTTATTAATAAATTGATAAGAATCACTAATACCAAAAAAAACAAATTCCATTAAAAACAATTTTATAGCAAGTATACTTAAATTATATCCCAACTATCAATCCCCGACTCGTTAAAAACTGACAACAAACCTCAAATTATTAAAATCAATAACCGAAGATTTCCAGAAGGCAACATTTGGCAACATTACCCACGAGTGCCAACCTAAATCCCATTTTATTGGCAGATTCGGTTATGTGATCCGATAGCATTGTATCTCTTTAACTGAGGTTAAACAAAAGAGAAAATGCGCTCTGACTTTAAAACGAATTTAAATTTCTTACAAACTGCAATTGGCAATAATTTCGACGTCATTGATGACGTGCATCCATTATTTTAATAATTTGATTTTAGCTATTTTTCAGAATGGGGAAAAATCGAAAATCGCCCTTGAAGATATCGCGATACGGTTTTTGACAATCGACATTTCGCAGAAATCGATCCCATTACATCTAATGCCTCATTTTCACTTGCGCAAAATTTGCTCTTTTTTTGACATTGCTTCGACAATTTGACGTTTTATGCGTGTATCAAACGTCAAATTGTCGAAGCAATGTTAAAAAAGAGCCAATTTCGCGCAAGTGAGAATGAGGCATAAGGCCGGAGTCTCATGCATCCGTTTTCCGACGTCCGAAAAACCTTCTATTCTGACATAATCGTATACAAATATGTCAGAATAGAAGGTTTTTTGGACATCGGACGTAGGAAAACGGCTCTGCCTGGCCTGGAAGTTTGTTTTTCCTGTTAAAACACTCCAAATTGCAGCACCCTGTACGTAATCATAAATCCATCACATCACTAATGACACAACTTGAAAACCTTAAATGAGTGAGGTAAGAGGCCTTATACTGAAGGTCCTAGATAAATTTACATAACTAATACATTTTATTATCAAAATAAAAAAACAAAACAACCTCAACAGTAAACAAAAGTAAGTTCCAACCTGTGGAATTTTCTGTAAATAATAATTCAAAAAAAGATTTACCAAGATTACTCGAATACGTTTGGATACTTTTCTTTACTACCAGGTACATGTTCGACCTTTTCCATTTTAACAAAAGTCCCTCTTTTAAGTTTGCACATTTTTCCATGCGTTTTGGCTTGTTCTACACTTTTTAGATTCATTTTACACAAAGGGCAATATCTATGAGCCCTACGAATATGCATCGTAAGTCCTTTTTTGGAATTTAAAATTTCAGAGCAGGTGTTACAAACATGAACTGATGATTCCCCTTTAACAAGTACCAAATCAGATTCCGAACGTGAATCAACTTCCATAGGGATTTCATCAGGGATTTTTGAAATTGGAATTCCTACGTCTGAATCTTCTACTTTAATAATAATTTCTGGCGACTGGTGGATTTTTCTTTGGGACCGCCGTGTACTCCGAGGAACATTGAAAATATCACATTGGACACTAATAGCTTTTTTTCCAGAAGGATCTGTTTGAATTTCCTTGTTCTGCGTTTCAGCAGACAGCATTTCTGATTCGGTTTGACATGTTTTATCTACTTTATGACTAGAAGCAAGCTCAAATGTCTCAAAAGGTTTTGCAGACTGCCCAGCAACAATATTTGTTGTCTGTGAATATTTGTTTTCTTCAGTTTTTTTATCAAATTGCATAAACTTAAAATTACTTTTTAATTTATCAGCTTGCAAAAATTTGTTTTCATTAACTATTTCTGGAATAAAATGGTCATTATTGGCTAAATAACTTGATAAATTTTGAATTTTAGAGGCTTTGGTTTCTGTTGCGACGTTCTCAGATTCACATTGTGTAGACATGTGCTTACCTCTAAACAAAGTCTGTATTTTTCTGTTTTTTGTAATTGGTTTGTCTGTTTGGCTTGAGTTATGAGTCAAAGGTTTCGGTTCACTCTGTGTAAAAGCATCCAGAGTGACATTATTTGAAGTTTGTGAAGATGCATCCTCCACTGTTGTCACTTTTTTCGCGCCTTTCGAGTCCAACCATTTAAAAATTTCGTCAAATTTGTCTCTGTTGGGCGTAGGAACATTCTCAACTGATGTATAATCGAGCTTCGGTCTTTTTGCATTATCTGGTTCATCCGTTCCATTTTCCTTAAAAATTATGAATTTTCAATTTACTCAAGTAGGTATGTACTGACATTGGTGAACTACAAAAGCAAATTTTACCTTTTGTTTCTCAAGACAAATGAATTTGAAGAAATAGAAATTGTGTAGGTCCAATAGGCAGTCAAAACACACAGAAGTTGCTTGGTCAATAGGTTCAATCTGCAAAAAGAAATGGTTGATTGAAGTCTAAAAATAATTACTTAAAATACGAAATTTTTGCAGCTACATTAGTCCATTATACAATTACATACTTTTTTTGTTAGTTAAAAAAGTAATTGTTAAATCGTATGTTGGTATAACTTTATATGTCCACTCCAATCTGGCAAAAAAAAGTAGGTACCAATTTAAAGAAATGTTTTTCACTGTAAAGCTGGCAAATGTGCCAAATATACTTAAAACCGAGGGGTGATTAACTCCCTAAAATATGTACACAGATTGAGATTATAAATCTTCATTGATTTTATAGGATTTTGAGGATTTGGAAAATCTTCACATGATTTTCCAGGATTTTAGATTTTAGGTGATTTTGTAGCATTTTTGGGAATTTAGAAAATAATTTGATTTGAGACACCAGTGCTATTTGTGTTTTGTAGATCATAACTAAAGCCAACAAATTATCAGTTAAAGGTCAGTGATGATTGGATAGACACAATTTTATTTGCTGTTTTATCGGAGTCCTATCAGCCGATGATCATGGGAATAGAGAGCTCGGGCACTGCAGTAACAGGTGACTCAATAAAAACAAAAATCCTGCAAGTTGTTTCAGTGGTTAAAGGACCTGGAAATACAATGGCAATGTATGGTGCAAGTAACAACAAACATTATTCTAAAGAAAATAAGACTTCAGGAAATGCTCAGAAAAGGGCCCAAGGTTTTGAAGGTCTCAGATGTTATTCTTGCAACAAGTATGGTCATTTTGCATGTAATTGTGATCAAAATAAGAATAAGAGAAATCAAAATGAAGCCTTGTTTACAGCTTTTTCTGTAGGATGTAGAAGAATTGGAGATTCTTGGTATCTCGATTCAGGGTGTTCAGCTCACATGACACCAAATGAAGATATATTTCATACACAAAGAAAAGCAGCAAAATTAACAATAACTAAAGTGTGTTTTTTTTTAAAGATAATAGTTATTAATGATACAAGTTCGATATGAACGCCATAATGAAACGCGTGTAACGTTAAACCACGAGGCGTTAGCCGAGTGGTTTAGTTACACAAGTTTCATTAATAAAGTTCATATCGAACGTGTATCATTCAAAATTTAATCTACAATGGTCGAAATAGATTTGATTTGCCTTGAAATAGCAAAAACTTTTCAAATTAAAATTTGAAATTTAGCAGGTGCCCGTACTAGTCGAGAACCTGCTTGTTGGTTTTTAGAATTTTGACTTTGGCAGCTTCAATATTGGAGTCCATTTTTGTGCCATAAATTCAATTTTATAGTGGAAAATAATATTATTATTGGTGATTCTGAGTTCGAAAGTGTCTCTTCGAATATAGAGACAGCAAAGGTTCTTCTGGCAACTAACTTTCTTTTTGTATATTTTTCATTTCAAAATTTGGGTGTTATTATGAATTCTTAAACGCACTAGTGCTATTATGAAGGACCTAATGACATTCAAATGACAATGCTAAATGTGTCATAATGACACCGACGTAGATTAAAGTCAAAATGACATTATGTTGTCAATACAATGTAGACTGTCAATGCTTTCAATTTTTTTATGTGGAAAAGGCTGGTGTTGCCAACATAGTTACCAAATTTTTAACTTGGGGAATTATCTTTAAAAAAAAAACAGATTTTACTGCAAATAATGAAGAAATGTCAACTCAGACAGTAGATGATATCAGATTATAGGTAAATGTGAATAAAAATAAAGTTGACATTGACATGGTTAGGTAATACTTTTTCGGAATTTTTGAAACTTTGTGCTAAATTTTATAATCAAAATGACTAACTTAAAGTGCGTAAGATGTTTAAAACAGTGTGTTCATAAACGAAGGCCAAAGGATAATGAAATCTTTGGAGCTGCTTGTGAATCTTCTAAAGAAATTTGGTGTAAGGCTAAGCTAAGTGACGAAAAAAGAAAAAATATTTATATACCAAGGCTTAAGAGAAGAACTGAAGATTTCGAACACACCGTTTTTGACAAAAAAAGTTTATGTTGATCAAATCAATAAGCAAAAGAATGAAAACATAAAACTAAATAAGTTTATTGCAGAAAATTGAGGATTTAGAGGCTAAACTGTTGAGGTTATCAAGGGATTTGGATGGTGGTACCTACTTAGGGATAATATGTTGACTGTTGACTAGTATTGAAACATTGTAAAAAAAAGAGGTCTATCTTAATTCCTAATCAACTCAAGAGAGCAAACCTAGAAATATTCACTTTGAAGAAAAGTCGTGAAGCAATATAACAAAAATATACACTTCAGCTGATAAAGAAACCTAGACTTTTAAAAAAATAGTGATGTATTATCAGGTAATATTCAAGTGGACCAAAAACAGTGTCGCTGGGTACTCATACTGACTGGTGATTTTTGTGGTAAGAGGATCCATAAACTCTAAAACCTTTATAATTTCCAAAGGAATAAGGAAACAAGAGATTTTGGAGCGATTGGGGTATTTTATTGAATTCACCTGATCCTCTTGTACAGTTTTACACTTTATTCTCTCATAACTTTACGATTGCATTTCGTCTTAAAACAATAAAGAAGATCAGAGAGCCAGGGCTCACTAAAGGACGAGTATCTGCCCAAAGTATGTGTACCTTGTACAGGGTGGCACATTTTCGATGTTTTAATGGGCTATATCAAGAACCAGCAGAGATACCAAAAATCTGGGCGCTCATTCTTGAGCACTTTTTTTGAGAAAAGAACAATGGCGAAGACAAATCACATCTAACTTGATGCGTTTAGGAAATACAGGGCCGTTTTCAAATTTTGTCCAATTTTAAAACGCCTTCTAATTTCTTTACTAATTAAGATATCTGGAAACAGAATAGCTATTTTCCTAACGAGTGTGCGAAGGAATTTCTTCCTGCTACAGTTGGGAACTATATTTTTTCTACGAGCATACTAAAGGTGATGTTACAAAAACTTTAATTCAAATAAAATGCGATTGTGCAGAAGGTAAAATTGAAAATGTATTAACCAGTAGTCACAAAAAAAAGTAAAGGTAAAGGTGTATTAACAATCAGAATTACAAAACGACATTGACTCCTTGTCTTCTTGGTGTATCACAAATAAACTTCCTCTAAATATTAATCCTCCGCAAACACACATACTTTCTGAGTACACCAAACACACTGGGGTGTATGATACCCCAAGCATTTATTGATGGTTCTTAACACAAAATAAAAAAATTACACGTTTAGGATATTAATAGATGTCTATTTATTCAGAAAACAAAGCTCAATACTTAAAAAATTAATATTTTTGTACTAAAAAACAAATTAATATTTTGTTACACTTTACCCATGCAAAAAATTAAATAAAAATGCTTCAGTGGAAAAATAACTTTCTATCAACGAAAACGAATATTCTTGAATAAAATCTGATAAATTCTCTTATCAAAAAAGCAACATATAATACAAACAAAGAAAAATTGTTATAAAATTTAAAAATACATACAAAAAGTATGTACACAAATAATTTACGCGCAGCACACACTGGGGTATATTTGACCCCGCGATCTACTAACACGCTTGTCAGTCATAAACTACTAAAAGCTAGATCCTGCCGTTTGGGGTTTAGGTAGTGAGACTAGAGTCTAGCCATCACATGTGGAGCAACTACGATTGTAGCCGAAAGCCGAGCCGAGCGCATTGAATTTGAAGGAAGGTGTATATTTGGTAATGTAATACCTACACTGCTAAAAAAAAAGTTGATATTTATTAAGAACCCGTGCGGATTTTTGCATTTTTTTTTTGTTGAAATAAATTTTCTCTGTGGAGTAATTGATACTTTTTTTCGCTCATTTGTAAGTAAGCGGAGTAGTTCATTTTGTTTTCGTTTTAAAGTCGTCAATACTGGGTTTTTAGGCAATAATACCTGTTCTACCACCCTATAACTTTCCACATTCATTAACGTTCATTGAGATTGAATCGAATTTCTTTTGCAGACTTTTTCTGGATCATCTGAAATATTTGAACCCGATACGCTATTACGCCGGATGATACCTCTGTCCTCTCTGGAAATTTAGAAATATTAAAAAATAGGACAAAAATATTAACTAAAAAAAGGACTTTACTTTTGTTTGTTTTTTTCTATACTGCTATCCTAAATCCAAACTACAAAAAATGTTATATTTTTACAAATAATTATTATCTTGTAAAATGGAATGGTAATTTTGTTTTGATAAAAATAAGAATGGTTAAAGAAAGATAAAAATATTAATTTAATTGTTGTTCTCCATTTTCTATGTACCAGAATTCGCTGTTCGGCTATTATCGGGTTTGCTCCGGCTGTGACGGCTAGACTCTAGTGGTAGTGAGGGACATAAACTAAATTTACATGGATTTTTGAAACCATCGGTAAAAGTTTCATAATTTGTCACGCTTTCAAACTTTTGTTGGGGTCCGGTAGACCCCAGTATGTGTATGGAGGGTTAATAAATGCGAATCTATGACTATTTCCAAACTTCATAACGAAGTGAAGTTTGCATATAGACTTGAAAATACCAATTTTTCAAGTGTAGATTCCATACAAGACCTTGAGGTAATTATCGACAGTAAACTAAATTTTAATAAACATATTGACCAAATCATTCAAGCATCTTTGAAAACACTTGGCTTTATTATTACGTCTACAAAAGATTTCATAAGTACGGAGAGCTTGATTGCTTTGAACTTGAACAACTCATTAATAAAATCAAAATTACAATATGCAGCTCTGATATGGTTTCCCAATTATGATGTATATGTCGACAGGCTCGAATATGTCCAGCGCAGATTTCTCAAGTACCTAAGCTCATGCAGGATGGCATCTACCCTCCACAGGGATATGACCACAAATTATTATTAGAAAGATTTAACTTTCTACCACTTAAGCAAAGTACAATTCTTGCCAGTCAACTGTTTATTTTCAAAATATGCAACAATTTAATTGATTCGGCTGAAATATTAAATTACCTCAATCTTTTGGTTCCCGCAGTAA